AAAGCACTCATTAGGAGCCCACACTCAAGGGAAGAGAATTAATAAGCTCCATCTTTTAGAGCAGTGGTTCTCAATCTTGGCTGCCCATTAGAATCACCTGGGACTCTTTTTAAAATCCTGATTTCTGGGCCTCATCCTCCGGAAATTGTTTCTTTGTTACTAATGTTGTGGCCCACCCCATAACAAAGAAACAGAATTTCCAGAGGATAAGGCCCAGAAATCAGGATTTTAAAAAGATTCCCAGGTGATTCTAATGTGCAGCCAAGGTTGAGAACCACTGTCTTAGAGGGAGGAGTGTTTAACAAATTTGATAGCATATGTTAAAATCACCATAGCAATACATATTTTGGGGAACATACTTTGAGGCCATGCAAATAACTTGTTTCTTCTTTAAAAGTTTCATCTTTTGCTCAGCTGGTGTGGCTCAGTGATTGAGTGTCAACCTGTGAACCAGGGGTCATGGTTTGATCCCGGTCAGGGCACATGCCCGGGTTGAGGGCTCTATTCCCAGTGGGGGATGTGCAGGAGGCAGTTGATCAATGATTCTCTCTCATCATTGATGTTTTTTTTTTTTAAAAAATCTTTATTGTTGAAAGTATTACATATGTCTTCTTCCCACCCCCCCCTCCATGGACCTCTTTAGCCTGCCCCATCATTGATGTTTCTGTCTCTCCCTCTCCCTTATCTGAAATCAATAATAAATAAATATATACACACACACACACACACACATACACACACACATCTATAAAAAAAAGAAGTTGCATCCATTAATTTTAGCATTCATTGGTGGATCTTGCCTGTCATAGTTATTATTGTGATGATTTGGTGATTTTCTATTTCTCTCGTTTCTTCTACATGTATTATTTGGAATCCTCCTATAAGGAAGATTTGTGTCTTCTCTCTCATTTATTTAATTATTTGTACCCACATAGAAGCATTAATATCTGTTTTATTGCTTGGATTATAGCATGTGGTTGTTTACTTTGTGGCTCATATTGTTCTGCTTTGGCCGTTGAGAGAAATTTCAGGTTGGCTCCCATATTCTTTTTACATGCTATGTTTCCATCCATTTTTTCCCTTTAGTATTTTGCCCCAAATGTTAACCAGAGATGGCCATAAATATTCGTTATTTGTATTTCACAATGAAAAAGCTTGATTAAAATGCAAAATTAGAATGTCCTCTGATCTCTTAGCACATGCTTTGTGAAAGACACAGTGCTAGATTTTGGATACACAGATGAGTCAATTTACCTTCACAGATAGTTATGTCAAACAAGAGTCGGGGAATAGATTCCAGACTACTTAGGGGGATAGAATATGAAGGGTTATAGCAAACTAGAGCCCTGGTGTGTGAAATTCGTGCACTGGGCGGCTGGGGCGGGGGGTGCATACCTCAGCCCGGCCTGCGTCCTCTCGCAGTCTGGGACCCCTCGGGGGATGTCCGCCTGCTAGCTTAGGCCCATTCCCAGCAGACGGACATTTCTCTTGCAGTCTGGGAACCCTTGCTTCTTACCACCCGCCTGCTTGCTCCTTATTGCTTGGCTTGCTGCTCCTTAGCACTACTGAGGAGGTGGGAGAGGCTCCCGCCACTGCCACTGTGTTCACCAGCCATGAGCCTGGCTTCTGGCTGAGAGGCACTCCCCCTGTGGGAGCGCACTGACCATCAGGTGGCAGCTCCTGCATTGAGCATCTGCCCCCTGGTGATTAGTTCATATCATAGTGACAGGTCTTTCTGGTTGTTCCACCTTAATGGTTGCTTAGGCTTTTATTATATAGATTAGACATGAAAATGACCAAAGGAAGTTCAGATTTGGGAGCAGTGGATAGGATTTACTAGGATAATCTATGAGAATGGTGATTACAGTTGTAACTATAGATTTCTGACCTAGCAAAATTATATTTTAGACTAAAAACCTGGGCATGTGCCCTGGCAGGGAATCGAACCGTAACCTCCTGGTTCATAGGTCGACCCTCAACCACTGAGCCACACTGGCCAGGTCTGATTCCAGATTCTTGGGAAATAAAGAAAAAATAGTCTGACCATTTGCTATAGTATTCTTGAATCTTTTAACAGTGATTATTTTTTTTGTCCCAATGCAAGTAACATTCTCTTAGTGTGTATATTCAAAAAAGGAAAGAAGTTTGTGAGTTTGACTTTGTTTGCCTTTCTCCATGTCTCTTGTCATGTTAGTAGTAATGGTTTGGGAGAGAACAAAATACAGTTGACCGTTGAACCAATGGCACAGTATAAAATCTGCATATACCGTAAGTGGATCCTCCGCTTATGCAAATTCCCAGCTGTTGACTCATGGACAATGTGGATTTTAAAAAAGTGTGTGAAAGTGGACCTGTGCAGTTCAAACCTGTGTTAACTGGATTCTTGTTTAATACTGAGTGCTATCTCATTGTAAAGAAGAGGAATCAATTCTTCATATTATGTATAATGGCTGTGAACCTTATGTTATCATAAACTCATAAAACTCATAAATTAATGTTTGAAATAACACTCTAACACTTTAAGAGAAAAATTCCAAAACCTGTAGGGAATTTTTATGAGTTTATTTGAGCCAAACTGACAACATATGCTGGGTTGCAAGATCTGAACTGCTTCCAGCTATTATTTTCTTGAAACCATAATGTAATTTGTAATAATTAGGGAACATTCATGTTTTTTCCAGCCTTATGATTGCTCTGAAATAGAGAAATTGCTCTTTAAGGTAATGATGCTACCTTGGGCAACATCTGTGGCTCAAGGCTGTCCTTTATTGTAACAGGCTCCAGTACAGCTGATTCAAGGGATGTTAATTGAATGTCTGCTGGATGCCTGGCACTGTGCTGAGGGAGACTGATAAATTCAGAGCATCTGTTATGTTGAAATTTCTGTTAAAAACTAAGTAATTATAGTGGTATCAATGGAGCGATTATTCTTGCTAACTGAAATGTAAATTTTTTAAAAAATATATTTTTTATTGATTTCAGAGAGAGTAAGGGAGAGGGAGAGATAGAAACATCAGTGATGAGAGAGAATCATTGATTGGTAGCCTCCTGCACGCCCCACTCTGGGGATCAAGCCCCCCAACCTGGGCATATGCCTGGCAGGGAATCGAACCGTGACTTTCTGGTTCGTAAGTCCACCTTCAACCATTGAGCCATGCCGGCCACGCCTGAAATGTAAAACATGTACTTACTCATTGCTGATGTTCAGCATCCTTAAGAATTTAACCTAATTAAGAAGGAAGCTATCAGTAGTGCTAAAGTCAGTCAGAAACTGTATTGCCCAATAAAAGTTGTATGGTATTATGTATTAATCATTTATTAAGGGTAAAGTTTTATAATCATTAGCTTCCCCCCTTTTTTCATTAGGATGTCAAACTGAAAAGGCTGTTATTTAGTTCATCCTGTGCTTCAATCCCCTTCTTAATTACTTGTTTAAAGCTTATTTCTTTCTGTGAACTTTATTTTGCTGCTGATTAGAGCACTTTGGACCCCCCCCCCCCTTTCCTTGAGATATAATTAGGGACAATAAGTGTACTTTGGTAACTTGGTATAACCAAAAAGATATGTTTTAAGTAACACATATCATGGTAAGCCTGGGTAATAATGAATATTCAAAAAAATAATCACTTAAAAGTTTTACATCTTGCTTACATGTAAATGTGATAATTGTAATCCTAATTTAAATTGTGAATGATACTTGGGTTTCACTTTACATAGGTAGCATTTTTTAAAAACAAAATCACAAAGAACAAAATTGAAACTCATGTCTTCTAAAATAATAAACTGTAAATTCTGGATCGTTTTTAACCAGGGGTCCTCAAACTATGGCCCGCTGGTCACATGCAAATACAAATATTGTATTTGTTCCCGTTTTGTTTTTTGTGTTCAAAATAAGATATGTGCAGTGTGCATAGGAATTTGTTCATAGTTTTTTTTTTAAACTATAGTCTGGCCCTCCAACGGTCCGAGGGACAGTGAACTGGCCTCCTGTTTAAAAAGTTTGAGGACCCCTGGTTTTTAACCTTTCGAAATTGCTTAATAGAACTGGTCAGAATTAGGAAGGATCTGTGAGGGGTTCCTTTGGAAACCATGGGCAGATAATCTGTTGTCTTCAGGTTCATAAAGGAATCTCTGGGGATGGTCTTTGAGTCAGGCCTGGCAATGGTCAATGTACATAAACAGAGCCTAGCTTTCAATGTTTTCTGAAGAATGCTTTAATACAGGCTTAGAATGTGCCTCAAGTTGTGTGTTTTCATAAAACAGCCTTTTATTTTTAATTTATTTTTAATGATTTCGGAGAGAAAGGGAGAAGGAGAGATAGATAGAATCATCAATGATGAGAGAATCATTGATTGTCTGCCTCCTGCATGCCCCCCACTGGGGAAAAAGCTCAAAACCCAGGCATCTGCCCTTATCAGGAATCGAACCGTAACCTCCTGATTCATAGGTTTACGCTCAACCACTGAGCTACGCTGGCCAGGCAAACAGCCTTGGATTTTACCACATCCTTAGTTTAAAATATTTATCATATAGGGTTACCAGAAGTTAAATGGTCCTTTTTTTTTTTAAAGGTAGAACTTCCAGGTAGATGCTAGGGAAGGATCATAAAAGCCCCTTGGAAAATTGCTATGAAAAAATGATTTGATCTTGGAATTAGGAGGAGAGATTCGTTTTATTGGCAAGAGCAATGGAAAGTTAACTCTGTATCCTAATACTGTAAAGGGAGTGGGATTTATCTAGCATAGTTCTTTGGGCTCTCCAAGAAAGCATATCACTTATGTTTTATTTCATTCTTTCCTTGGAATTAGTTCACTGATCTCAGATCATTGGTGACATTGCTTATTTTTCTTTTAGATAATTCCGTCCTTTGTAGTGATTCATCAAAAGAGCTTCTGCTGTTGGTTGCAATTTTGGCTTCTCTTAAGCTATTCATAGGCTTTTCAAGAGCTGTAGTCTTCTTCAGTGAGCTGTTAATTATTCTTGGTATATTTTTGTTGCAGAATTTACAATACAGTATGCCTTTTATTAATGTGATTTTCCCCCCTTTTTGCAGTGATTACTTATTCAAGTTACTTCTGATTGGAGACTCTGGAGTTGGAAAGTCCTGCCTCCTTCTTAGGTTTGCAGTAAGTTGAAATTGAAATGCCTTTAAAGAAATTAATGCTGTGTACATTTTCTAGGTAGACAAAAGATTAAGCTGTTTTATTCACAATAAACTAAATCTTCCAGAATTTATATATTAAAGCAGGGGTCCTCAAACTATGGCCCGCGGGCCCGCCGAAAACATTTATCTGGCCCGCCGTGTGTTTTTGCTGCCGCTGTGTGCATAGGAATTTGTTCATAGTTTTTTTTAAACTATAGTCCAGCCCTCCAACGGTCTGAGGGACAGTGAACTGGCTGTCTGTTTAAAAAGTTTGAGGACCCCTGTATTAAAGTCTCCGAGTATACACCCCTAGTGATACTTTTGAGTCTTAAATAAAAGAAATGCTGTTGTTCTTAAAAGAAATTCAGCAAAGTGTGGTTTATAAAATCAGAGTTGATAGTCTTGGTAGAGGTCAAGCAGTGTTTCATTCCAACTTGGGTAGTAAGGTAAGGGGAAAGTAGTTGGTCTGTGTTGAAAGCAACTTGATGGAAAACAACTTTTCAAGTAAAAGTTTAGCAAAAGAAAAAGGAAAAGCAGGGTCTGGCACATTTTGACAATGGTGCTCTATATGCTGAAATTTATCAACAGATAAGTGACTTTCAACCTAATGAATTCACAGCTTCCTTTATAGTATTTATCAACTGCCTTCGAATTTAGCATATTTTCTGTCTCATTATATCTTTGGTTCTCAGAGTGTGGACTAAAGGTCCTTGGGGATTATCAAGACCCTCCCAGTGGGTTGTCCATAAGATCAAAACTATTGTCTTAATAATACTAAGCTGTTAGTACAGACAGTCCTCGGCTTACGTCGCCATCTCCCATCTACACTAATCTACACTAATAAAAGAGAAAAATGGTAATTGGCGTACGACGCTACCCTTTTCATTGGCTAATCCGGGCTATATGCAAATTAACTGCCAACTAAGATTGGCGGTTAACTGCCAACAAGATGGCGGTTAATTTGCATATGTAGGCA